GCTGCTGTGTTGAGCATAGACTGGAAAGGAGGAGACAGGCGGAATCAGCAGACCAGTTGTAGACTACTACTGTAGACTAGTAGTACAGATTAAGAGATGACTGAAATGGACAGAGAGGTCATAATGAGGGTGGTGAGAAGTGGTTGAATTCTTGATATATGTTGAAGTAGAGTCAATAGGATTTGGTGGTAGACGAGATGAAAGTGGGAAATAAAGGGAGGAGTAAAAAATGATGCCCAAGTTTTTTGACCAGAGCAACTGAGAGAATGGAGTCGGATAATTCTCTTAAATTACTGTATTAAGTCTATGCACCATTTCACATGTCCACTTGACTACAGGTAATTTTACCATATAAGCTTGGGAGGGGAAGAAGAGGAACAACAGAAAAGAGATAGGAAGAAAAAACATATTTTAAAATATAGTAAATTGAGCCTTAATGAACAATTGTCCTTAAGAAAACTGAGATAGAATACTATAAATCTGATGTGTTCTCTCAATCTTTAGAACTGAACTAGGAGTTAACTCTGAGAGTTCATGATATATTATGAAACTCTTTGCCTATTGTGGAAATTAGGTTGTTTTCAATTTTTGCTTTTGCAGATGATGATACTTGTTATTTTTTCTGTAAGGTAGATTTCTACAAATAAGATTTCAGGGCATTAGACTGTGTCAATCTAAAAATTTGATAGATTCTGCCAATTACCTTTTAAAAAATAATTTTAGCAAGTTTCATTTCTTAAATCAATATTAGGGACTGCTCATTTACCTTGTTTTATATATATATAAAATCTGTTTAAATTTTTATAAATAGCCTGTGCAATTGCCTGGTTGTTTTGGTCCATTTCTATTGTGTTCTTTGTTTTTTAAATTTGTAAGCATTCTTTGTGTATTATTTCTTTATTATAATTTGCAAATATTATCTCATTATTTGCCTTTAATTTTATAGTATCTAGTCACATGAAAATTTAAAGTTTTTATGTAAGCAAATCTATCCATCTTTTACGGCTTCTGGGTTTCAGCATGCCAACAAAGATGATATAAATATGATCTCATATATATATTACAAAAAGTTTTTAGAGGGGAGGGATGGTGGGGGGTGGGAAGCTGGGGAGAGATAGCAAGGGGAGAAATGCCAGATGTAGGTGATGGGAAGGAAGGCAGCAAATCACACTGCCACGTGTGTTCCTATGCAACAATTTTGCATGTTCTTCACATGTACCCCCAAACCTAAAATGCAATAAAATAAATAAATGGGAGAAAAAAAAAAGTTTTTAGAGATAGGATCTTGCTTTGTCACCCAGGCTGGAGCAGTTGTAGCTCCCTACAACCTCAAACTCCTGGGCTCAAGTGATCATCCTGCCTCATCTTCCCGAGTAGCTAAGATTACAGGCATGTGCCACCACAGCTAATTGGGTTTTTGTTTGTTTGTTTGTTGTTTTTGTAGAGAAGGTGTCTGTGTTGCCCAGACTGGTCTCAAACTTCTGGCCTCAAGCTATCCTCCCACATCAGCCTCCCAGAGTGCTGGGATTACAGGCATGAGCTACTATGCCTGACCAGTCTTTTATATTTTCTTCTGATACTTTTATGATTTTATTTTATAGACTTTAATTTATAAAGTTAGAGGTGAACAATCAGCATATTTTTCGATATGGTATGATATAGTTTAGATCTGGATTGCTTTTGTCATATGGTGTGGGAATTGTATCTACCTTTAATCATCTTGAACTTGGGTAGTGATTGTCTTGACCACTTAAGGCATCCTTTCTCCACCTAAAATGCCAGCTTTTCCTATATTAAGTTTAAACAAACTTTGATTAGAAAATCAAGTTTATTGAGATATAATTGATATACAATGAAACGCACCCATTTTAACTGTACTATTTTATTGATTTTGACAAATATATACACTATCACTGCTACTACAATCAAGCTGTAGAACAATTGAATTACCTCCAAAAAGTTCCTTCTTGTCGGTAGTCATTTCTCTCTCTTTGCCCCAGGCAACCACTAATCTGTTTATTAGTTTTCCCTACCCTAGAATTGCTCAGGTAACATATACTCTTCCATGTCTGGTTTATTTCACTTAGCATGTTTTTGAGATTCATCCCATTTGTGTTTGTCATGGATTTGTTTTTTAAATACAGTGTGGGTATACCACAGTTTGTTTATTCATTTTCTGGTGAACATTTATATTGTTTTCAGTTTTAGGCTGTTGTGAATAAAGGTACTGTTTTGTATGCATGTCTTTGTGTGAACATGTTTTCATTTTTCTAGGGTAAGTACCTTAAATTGGAATTATTGGGTCACGTGGTAAGTTTATGTTTAAATGTATAAGGGGAACTGCCAAATTATTTTCCAGATGATTATACAACTTTACATTCTGATCAGCAGTGTATGAGAGCTCCAGTTCTCCAAATACCAGCATTTGATGTTCTCAGTCTTTAATTGCAGACATTCTAAGAGGTGTGTAGTGGTATTCCATTGCAGTGATTTTTTTTCAATTGTGTAAAAATACACATAACATCAAATTTACCATTTTAACCATTTTTAAGTGTACAGTTCAGTGACATAAAGTACATTCACATTATTCATTATTGTGCAGCCATCACCGCTATCCGTCTCTGAAACTTTTTTATCCTCTGTCTGAAACTCTAGCCATTAAACAGTAACTCTTCATTGCCTACTCTCCCCAACTGCTACTTTCTATATGAATTTGACTCTTCCAGGTACTTCATATAAGTGGAATCATATGATTTTTGTCCTTTTGTGTCTGGCACATTTCATTTAATAATAATAATGTCCTATGTTAGGCCATTCTTGCGTTGCCTTAAATGAATATCTGAGACTGGGTAATTTAAAAAGAAAAGTTTATTTGGCTCCTGGGGCTGCAGGCTGTACAAACATGGCACCACCGTCTGCTCAGCTTCTGGGGCGCTCTCGTGGTGAGTTTACTCATGGTAGAAGGCAGAGGGGGAGCAGGCATGTCATATGGCGAGAGCAGAAACAAGAGAGAGGGTGGGAAAGTGGCACATCTTTTTAAACAACCAGATCTCATGAGAACTCACTCTCTATCCCAAGGACAGCACCAGGCTATGAGGGATTGCTCCCATGACCCAGTTACCTCCCACCAGGCCCCACCCCCAACTTTGGAGATTATATTTTAACATGAGAATTGGGGAAGACAAAAATTCAAACCATATCAGTCTTCCAAGTTCATTCATGTTGTGGCATGTATCCAAATTTGATTCTTTAAGGTTGAATAATATTTCACTGTGTACATTATATCACTTTTTAAAATTTATTTGTCGGTGACATTTGGGCTGTTTGAACCTTTTAACTATGTGAATGATGCTGCTATGAACATTGGTGTATAAATATCTGTTTGAGTCCTTGCTTTTAATTCTTTTGGTTACGTACTTAGGAATGGAGTTGCTGAGTCATGCCATACTGTTTTCCACAGTGACTGCACCATTTTACATTCTTACTGGCAGTAAATAGGGTTCCAATTTCTCCACATCTTTGCTAACACTTGGTAGTTTGTTTTTTTATTTAAAATAATTGCTTTTCTAATGGGTGTGAAAAGTCATTATGGTTTTAATTACATTTTCTTCATGACTACCATTGAGAAGTTTTCTTTTGTGTGTTTGTTCAGTATTTTGCACATTCTTTTCAGAATGTATGTTCTTTGTCAGATAAATCTATTTCTTCTGCATCTTTACTGATTTTTCTGTCCACTTATTAATTACCAAGAGAGGAATGTTGAAATCTTCAACTATAATTTTGAGTTTATCTTCCTTCTGTTCTATTTTTGTTTCATATGCTTTGAAGCAAAATCTGTGAAGTTGTCTCATTAGGTGTGTTCACATTTAGGACTGTTAGGCATCCTTGGTTAATTCATGCCTTTATCATTATGAAATGTCTCTGTTTATTTCTGGTAATGTTGCTTATCTAAAGTCTATTTTGGTATTAGTGTATCCACTCCTTATGATTAATTTTTGTATATTATATCTTTTTGCTGTCTTTTTATTTTCAACTTATTGATCATTTAATGTCTTTCTTTTAGTTGCATCTTGTTTTCAGACTGATTTTTACGATCTTTGGTTTTTAATTTGATTGTCTAAGTCTTATTTACATTTATTGCAGTTGGCAATAGAGTTGTGTTTAAGAAACTATTTGTTTTCTATTTGTCTAATCTTTTCCTCATTTTCTGCTTTCTTTTTGGTTAATGAACATTTGTTTGGAATATTGCATTGTCTCCATTTTTTTAGCTTGTCCCTGTTTTTCTTCCCAGTGGTAGTTCCAGGATTTATAATATGCACCTTTAACTTACCTCAGTCTACCTTTAAAAATATTATTTCTCTTAATGTATAAGAACTTTAGAATAGTATACATCCATTTACTGTTTTTGGTATTGTAATCTTATATTTATTTTATTTCTATATGTGTTATAGATTTCACAGTAGAGTTTGAAACTATTTCAAAGGCCAGTTGTCTTACAAAGAAACTTAGCAATAACATTCCTTTATATTTACCCTCATATTTACCATTTTCATTTCTTTTCCTTTGTGGAGATACAAGTTTCTTGTTGGTGTTATTTTCCTTCTACTTGAAAAAATTTCTTAAACATTTCTGAAGTGTGGGTCTACTGGCTGCAAAATCTTTCAGCTTTTATTTGTATGGAAATGTCTTTATTTCACTCAACATTTTATTGTAAAATTTTTCAAATCACACAGGCTTTAAAATAATTGTAGAATGTAATTTCACAATTAAGATTTTGTTATATTTGTTTCTGTCTTCTATCTTGTCTATTTATCCATCTTCTCTTCTTCTAGTGTCGTCTTTTATGCTTTTCAAAGTAAGTTGCAGATGTTAGCGTACCACACCCTTAACTTCAGCATATATATATACTAAAACTTAGTAGTTTAGTATTTTTAACTAGAATTTACTGTGCTATTCCAGTTATTTATTGCTGTGAAATAAATTGCCCCAAACTTAGTGACTTAAATATTAGCAATGATTTATTTTGCTCATGAATCTCGTTTGGTCAGGGATTGGCAAGGAGAGCTTGTCTTTGGCAATACATTATAACAACTGTTTATGTAGCATTTACATTGTATTTGGTACTATTAAGTAGGCTAGAGATGGTTTAACATATTTGAAGATGCATGTAGGTTATAGGCGAATACTGTGCCATTTTATGTAAGGGACTCGAAGCATCCTTGGATTTTGGTATCCATGGGAGTCCTGGAACCAGTCCTCTGTAGATAGTTGTGGTATTACTGTAGTCTTTGGATTGAAAGAGTCACAGATTTCACTCAAGATTCAAGCAGAAGGGCCATAGACTCCGCCACCTGATGGAAAAAAATGACAATGTTACATTGTTAAGAAGAGCATGTGGAATGGTTTCTGTTGTGATGACTTTGTAAAATACAGTTGACCACATATACCATTTCATGATCTGTGACAAATGTATACACCTTTGCCAGAAATTCCTATCAGGGTATAGAACTTACACCTTTTCCTAGTTATTCCTGCCCTCTGCACCACCTCCAGAACCTATCATTGTTCAGATTGTTTTCATCTTACTTTAGCTTTCTTAGAACTTCGTGTAAGCAGAGTAGTACAATACTTACATGTAGTAAAAAGCTTTCTTTTTACTCAGCATAATGTTTTTGAGATTCATCCATATTGTTGCATGTTTCAGTGGTTTGTGACTTCATCTATTAAGGGACACCTGGGCTGTTTTCAGTTCCTTGCTATTATAAATAAAGGTACAATGACCATTTGTGTGAAAACAGTCTCTATATAGACATATATGTTTCTTTTCTCTTGGTTAAATTTTTTCTTTTTAAAAAACAAATTTTAGCATTTGTTTTGATTAGAAGTCTGGCTATACAGTCATGTGCCACATAATGACATTTCATTCAACAAGAGATCACAGATTACAGTAGTCACTTAAGATTATACCACTGTATTTTCACTGTACCTTTTCTAGGTTTAGATATATACTTCACTGTGTTACAGTTATCTACAGAATTCAGTACAACATTCTGTACAGGTTTATAACCTAGGAGCACCTGGGCTATACCATATACCCTAGGTCTGTAGTAAGCTGTACTGTCTAGATTTGTGTAAGTACATTCTATGATGTTTGCACAATGACAGAATCACCTAATGATGCCGCCTAATGATAACATTTCTCAGAATGTATTCCTGTTGCTAATGCTAAGGATGCATAACACTACTTATCTTTTCTTCCTTATGCTAAGTCTTTTTTCCCTGGCTACTTTTAAGATTTTTTCCTTGTCACTTTTCATTTTTCATGATTACCATGCTGAGGGTTCTTCAGGCTTGTTGTTTTTTGGGGGTTTTTTTGCCCTTTTGAATTTGTATATTTATGTTATGGTTTTCCTTAACTTTGGAAGATTGTTGTCATTATTTCTTCTATATATATATTTTTAATCACCTCTACTCTTACACCATTTCCACTTTTTCTGGGACTCCAGTTACACATATGTTAGACCATTTGGTGTTTTCCACAGGTCATTAACATCATATTTGTTATTTTTCGGTCGTTTTATTTCTGTGTGCTTCAGGTGGTTTTGTCTTCTGTTATACTGTTTTTGCTCCTGCCATGTTAAATAATTTCAGCTTTTTTGCTTTGTATTTTTAGAAGTTCCATTTGATTAATTTTCATCTTTATTCATGTATTTTTTGAATTCTTGAGCACATTTGTAATAGCTATTTGAAAATTTTACTTATTGATTCCATGAATTTTTTTACTTCTGAATTTGTTTGTTGATTTTTCTCTTGCTTGTGGGTTGTGTTTTCCTTTTTTTTTTTTTTTTTTTAAACATATTTAATGATTTTTAAAAATTGGTTGCTGGACGTTGTAATATTTTGTTGTTGAGTGACTAGCTTTTGTTTCCTTTTATAGTGTTTTGTTTTGAAGCCAGCTAAATAATTTGCGGGTAAGTTTTATTCCTTCAGGGCTTCAGTGGAGTTTGTCTAAAGAAGGCTTTGCTTTAATGGTAGTAGCTCCTACCTAAGGCATGATCCTTCCGAGTCTTTATTAATGCTCCCAGTGTCACCGTGTTCTCTTCACTCAGGTTACAGGGAATTTAGCAGTCTTCCAGATCTTTATAAGTTTTGGGAATACTGCAGCTCATTGCTTCTCTTTCCCTACCTTCATGGAGTCACTTACCTTACTTATGTACAGTTAGTACATAGCATTAGACTCCCATTGCCATTAGACTCCCAAATAGATTTCTGAAGGCCTTTCTCTGCCCCGTCAGACAAGCACCCCTCTTGTCTGGCATTTGTCTTATAAATTTTACCCACTTCATTGACTGCAGGTTGGAAATTACCTCCAGACAGACATCCAAGCAGTGGATGGCTTACCTCCTTTGTTTTTGTCCTTTCATGGATTATAGTCTTGTGCTGCCTATTATCCAGGGTCTGAAAATTGTTTGAGAAGAAGCAACTGTCAGATTTTTGGAAATTACTCTGGACTTAACTTTCTGTCGTGCTTACCTGTTTAATGCTAATACCATATCAAGTTTTTATTTTTATTTTTTTAAGGAGAATCTTTTAAATATACATACAGAAGAGTGCACTTCTAAGTGTATAGCTTGTTGCACTTTCACACACTGAGTACATATGTTTAGGTGGCATTTAGATCAAGAAACAACATCAGTAGCTTTTCTGTAGCCCCTAGTGCTCTGTGTTACTACCCCTTCCATGTGTAAACCACTGTCCTGACTTCTCATAGCATAGATTAGATTTGCCTGTTTTCATCTTTTATCTCACTAGAATCAAGCACATTCAGTTGTGTCTGATTTCCTTTAATGTATTCGTGAGATTTATCCAGATTGTTGGCTGTAATAATTGATTGTTTATGATTGTCATTTTATAGTATTCCATTTTAAGAATATACTACAGTTTAATCTGTTGATGGACATTTAGTCATTTTTGGTTTGGAACTGTTAAGAATATTGCTGCTGCTCTCAACACTTCAGTGATTGTTGTCTTGTGAATATATGTGCTTATTTCTGTTTGATGTATACTTAGGAGTGAAATTTTTAAGTCATAGGGTATGTATATATTTTAGTGTATACTGTCAGTTTTCGAAGGTGTTGTGATTTCGATGACAGCTAGTGCTCGACTTACGACCACGATTGGGTCCAACAGACCGGCACGATTTGGTCATAAGTTAAGTAGGCTATATGCATGCGGAGATGGTAGTGCTGCCGGAAACTGGTCCGCATTGTCGTACACCCAGCTGGGCAACGTTTGCACTGCCAGACGCGGAGCAGTCGTGGCTAGCGATTGTGGTCGTAAAGTCGAATGGTCATAAGTTGCATAGGTCGTAAGTCGATCAATACCTGTATACCATTTAAGTTAATATATTATGTTTTAATATCTGGTAGAGAAAGGGACATTATTAGAAATTTTTTTTTAGTTATATATTTAGTCTTTGAAATAAAATTTTCTTAAATTGGCATTTACTTATATTTGTGTTGATTTAGGAAGAAGTGATATCTTTGTTCATCTATGAGTCACATTTGGAACTAGCTCAAGATCTTTTGTCAGCCCATGGGTCTTGATTCTCTCTCTCTTTTTTTTTTTTTTTTTTTTGTAGAGGGGTATGGTGTGAAGAAAAGATAGTCACATTATGAAAATTAAAATGTGGAAGAGATGATCCCTACTATCAATCAGCTTACAACTAGAGGCACTAACAAATGTATACAGATAGCTGTAATGTAAGATATAAGTATAAGGTAGAAATTAATAAATATTTTATGGTATTAAGAATATATTAATAAGACCTGAAGGAGATGGTGGTTATATACAAGAGGTTAGATAACCCTGTGAGATACAGTCTTTAGAATGAGGCCAGTTTTTAACATGGCATGATAGGTGGATGGGGGATAGACGTTAGTAATGAACAGAGGACCATTTCTGAGTGAAGTCTCCTCAGAAGCAAATGCATTGAAGTCGGAAACACAGTTATCCATTATATAATAGCCAGTAGTCTAGTGATGAGACTAGATCTTGTACCTGATGATAATGTCATACAGTGGGCAGCAGTGCTTGGTTGGCTGGGGTCAAGGCCACGAGGCAAGGGCCTCAAGGAAAATGTGAAGGAGTTAGGAATTTATTCTGCTGACATAAGAAAGCATTAAAGCTTTCGAATATAGAATAATATGTCCAACTTTGAGTTCTCAGGAAGATAATTCTAGCAGCAAACTCAAGGATAAAGACAAAAGGAAACCAGATGAAATAATGGGGCACTGTAGTGGGACAGTGTTGGTAAGTTTGGGGAAAAAAGAAGTAAGATATTTCTAAGGAAATTTTTAAGGTTTGAATATAAATTAGAAGGGAGGTACAAGGTAATGAGCACGGTTTTTAGAATCAAATTTGGGTTTGAATTTTAATTTTGCATGTACTAAAGGACTGAAAGCAAGTCCCCCAAGAGAAAAATGTTCTCCTTTGTAAGGTGCTTATTCTATTTTCAAACATTTTCAAGCACTGGAAGTATAAAAACAAATGATACACATATTCTTTTGAAGTTTGGTCTAGTCTGGCAGGTTTTGACCAAATTGTGTGGAGTCTCTGACGTGATTGGGAGATTTTGTTTTATTCTGGAAGTAACTAAAAGCCATCAAAAAAGACTAGGGAATAGTGTGGCAATGAAGAAATGTAGGGGAATTTCTGAGGATGAATTGGTAGCAATTGGTAAACAATTTGATATACTGGGAAAGAGAGACTCTTTAGAATATGACTGAGAAATTTTCTAATTTGACCAGCTGGACTGACAGTGCTACCATTACCTCACAGGATTTTTCTTAGTGTGTCTTAAAAATCTTTCTTGTCCCTCATAAAGAATGGCTTTCCTTTTCTTCAGACTAAGTCAGGACTTTTTATTATAATACACACTTACCACTCCCTGTATTTCTCCATCGAGACTGCACTGTAATTGCATAATTAATTGTGGTTTTTATTTGTGCCCATTTCTCTCACCACATGAAGACAAGAAATTATGTCTAGTTTTTCTACCACTGCATCTTCATCCGCCTAGTAGGTAGGCACTCAAAATCTGGTAGACAATTTTCAAATGAATGATTATGAAGAAATTGAAGGCTGAAGGAATATCACCCTACATGGGAGAGAAAGTAATGAATGGCACCACATTTTTCAGTTCGTCACTAGGACAGTGAGATTAGGCAGAGTGAGTTTTTTTGGAAAATAACTGAGTTTGATTTTAGATATGCTTAATGTAGACGCTAATGAGACATCCAAAGGGACGTGTACCATTGGCAATTGGTAGCTGCAGGCATACCGTGCCAGAAGTAAGAGCTTAAAGACAGAGTAAGGAGTTTGTAAGTATAGAGGTGATATGGTGGGAATGGATGGCATTGCACAGAGATTGGGTTTAGGTTAAGAAAAGTGGCTATTGACAGAAACTTGGAGATAGGCCACGTATGAGAGGTAGGAAGATGAACTAGCAGAAGACCTTGTTGCCTTTAGAGAGATGGAAGAAAATGAGTGGATACAACATTAGGGAAGCCAGAGGAGAGGAGGAGTCGTTAGCAGACTTAACAGCTACAAAAATTAAGTGGGATTAAGGGGCCAGAGCATTGGGAATATACGGAAATGATGGAAACTTTTCTAGGAAAAATTTCACTAGGTAGAAAATAGCAGCTGAGCTAGTGGTTTTCACATTTTTTTTTTTGGCAGAAAAAGGATAAAGAAATGATACTCTGAGGAGTTAATGGAGTTGAGGAAATTATGTTGCAAGTATTATTTGAAAGCAGTACTGTATTTAAAACTTTTTAAGTCTTAACTGCAGAATGGACTGGAATGAGGAGAGCTTAAAGGCAGGAAGACTTTGGGAAATTGCTGGAGTAGTCCTTCTTTGGTTGTGAAATGTGTAAATGGACAAAACATAGACAGTTCTAATAAGTAGCATTAAACATAAATATAAGACACCATAAATGGTGCAAAGAACAGACGTGTTGGATGTTATAATAAAAAGTGATAGAAAAAAACAGTTTATGAAATCAAGTTTTGAAATAGGTTTAGAAGGAGGTGAAGGAGAGATGGCTATGCCAGTCATATTCATAATAATGTATGTAATACGTGTGTGTCAAGGAGAGATGATTAGTTGGTGACATGACCTGTCTTAAGAATGAAATAGAAATGAATAAAGTGAAAATTTTAGGCAGAGAGACGTAGACTGACTTAGGCATTTCTTACTAGATTATACTTATTTATAAGATTATTAGACTGAGCCCTCTGTTGAAAAGATAACTGTGTCTGGTATTAGGATTCTTAAGGTTAAATTGACAAGTGAGTGTGCATAATATTTGTAGTGCTTACAGCTTTTGTTACTTATCCTGTATTTTATAGATTTGGTATGTTTCCTCTATGAATATGTGTTCCTAATTCATAATTTGGAAGGCAGGGCTTCTTAGAATGGAATCTGTATGTCATGTGAAGTGTATGTTAAAATGCAAATTCATTTCTGCATTCTTGGGTGGGTCTGAAAAAAAATTTTTTTTAAATCATAAACCCCCACCTCATGCACTGAATGAGAATCTTTGCGGGTAGAGCCCAACTAGTTTTTAGATTTCCCCAGGTAATTCTATTACAGGCTGAAGTTTGAAACTCCGTCTCTAAAACCTTAAAAGTTGGTTGATTTCATTTAAAAATGTTTATATGCAGTGTATTCATTGTCTACCATCCATCTCTAGGACACTGGATAGGCTTCTTATCTTTGAGATTTGGTTTTTTAATATATAATGCAGTACATTAAAGGACTTTATTTCTGTTCCATTGAGGAATGTTCTGATTGTATATAAACAAGTTAAGAATTTAGAGTGATAATTTAGGAGCTTGCTTTAAGCTTCAGGATTTGTTTTTTTAAGAGTTAAGTTTTGATATATGTTAAGTGGTTGATTTAATAAATTATAATTATCATAGTGATATTGAAGTTCTGTTTTGTGCCAGGTAGGCATTATGCTGTAACTTTTTAATGCATTTTCTCTACTATAGCAACCTGACGCTGGAGACTCAGGGTCAAAGGGTCTGCCCAAGACTGCTACTCTAGAAAATAGTGGATAGATGCCCAGATTTGTATCTAACACAGCTAATGCTTAGCATATAGAATTTAATTAAAAACAAGATTGATATAGGTATTTGAAGGGGTTAGGGGGGTATAGTCAAATAGTTTTCAAATATGTTTAGCCCTGTTGGAGGCAGGATAAAGAAATAAAAGGCACTAAGCTTTGTGGATGAATATGGGAAATACAGCTTTGCTTGCTGAAAGCACTCAGGCCGTAGGGCCTGCCTAACTATGCTTCCCTCATCCTGGCAACAGCAATAGGGTAATTGTTTCTTGATAAGTTTTTCGATGTTCATTATTATTACAGAAAATAAATTTGCTTTTATAATCTTTAGTACTTTTTTTTTTTTTTTGAAAGTTTATCCAGTTGTTTATGTAAAAAGAATTGAGTGAGGTGTTTTATATTTTAGGTTAAAAATCTGTAAGAGCCTGATTTTAGAATTCACCAGCTCCACAGAAGTTTGGCGAAATATGGTATGTTTTCGTTTTACTTTTTGGAATTCATATTGCATGTATATCTTAATGTCACAATAATGACAGATGTGTTCAGCAAATTTGGGCACCTGCCATTTTTAAAGCATTGTGTCAGGTGCTCACCAACTACTCTTCCAAGACTGTATGTGGGACTCACATAGGGTGCTGAAAAAATTTATTAAGAGATTAGTGTGCTGTGAGATGTAAAATAATGTGCATAAAAAGATTGAGAGGGCAGGTTTGGGTGTTGGGCTAGGAATATTAATAATTTTTTTTTTTTTTTTTTGGTGACAGAGTCTTCCTCTGTTGCCCAGGCTGGAGTGCAGTGGCACCTTCTTGGCTCACTGCAACTTCCATCTTCCGGGTTCAAACAGTTCTCATGCCTTAGCCTCCTGGGTAGCTGGGATTATAGGCATGTGCCACCACACCTGACTAATTTTTTATGTTTTTAGTAGGGATGTGGTTTCACCATGTTGGCCAGGCTGGTCTCAAACTTCTGGCTTCAAGTGATCCACCCACCTTTGCCTCCCAAAGTGCTGAGATTACAAGTGTGAGCCACCATGCCTGGCCATTTGTGAGCATATTATATGTCAGGCACTGTTCTGAGATATTTTAGATGTTAGCTTGTTCATCCCTGACAGCTCTGTAATAGGTGCTATTCTCCTAGTTCTACCTATCTACCTATAAGGAAACTGAGACACGGAGAGGTTAAATAACTTGCCCAAGATTTCTCAGCTCATAAATGACCAGAAACAGAAATCCAGCCTGACTTTGGAGCCTTTTGAGCATCAGACCTCATAACAGAGGGGACTGGAAGAAAGGACTTGACTCAGTAGTTTCCCAAATACATACAGCTCTTTAATTACATTGAGATCAGTTAGTCAATTAAAAGGTATTTTAACTTCATTATTTTTTGTGTATACAAGATGGGAAGTTAGACTTGTTTCAGTCTTCTAATTCCACATACCATTAATCTCATGAGAACCCAAGGGGAAGCTGTATCATGAACTCATTGTTCATTTTAGGGGTGGTGGTGGTTCCCATATAATCTTAGCCATGTCTAGGTTCTTATTAGGAGATGTATAGTTATGATAGGAATATCTGGGAGACTGCATTATTTCTTACAGATACTATAAATCCCATTTATTGGAAACCCCTGTTATTATTTTTATATATTCAGGCCAATCCTTACCTAATCTGTATTTTGAAGCCCTACGTTCATAACTGCATAGGTATGGGCTCAAACATTCATGTTTTATCCATTGGTGTTCGCAGATACCTTGCTGTTTTATATCAGGTTCTGAATCCACACTGGTAACCACCCTATGCTTGCCTGTGCTGCTTTGAGGATGTTAACTATGAAGTCTTTTTTTCCTCCTAATTTCCTCATCTTTTCATAGTACGCCTCAGATTTGGCCTGGATAGGGGAATCATGAGGAAGGAACTAGTTACACAAAATAATCGTTTGATACTGGGATATTTCAGAGGTATGGTATCTTTGCCAGAACTACGGTGTGAGTAAAGAGGTCTGCTACATTTTAACTGTGACAGTCAGAAAAGTTCAGCTAAGACCATGTAAGGGGTTAAAAATCAGCTAAGTCCATGTAAGGGGTTAAAAAGATACTTGGTTGAAGGAGGAGGATATGCTTTCATCTTTTGCCATACTCTCATGAAATTAAGTCTTAGTATATTTATGGCTAAGAAAGAGTAGAACATATTTTCATGCAGCACTTAAGGGGTTTTGGCTGATGTTAAATGACTCTACGTGAATAATAGAATTAGTAGGACTAGACTTTGGTGTATTTATGTATGTGTGTGTGTTTATGTGTATGTATATAACTATTCCGTTTTAAGCATTTGCCAACTTGGCGACTGATTTCTCTATCAGCTTTTAAGAATCTTTTCACTAAATTAGTCCCCATTTAAACTGTTGGCCATATTTGAAAGATCTCAATCTATGTTTTAAATGTTTACTCATTTATATATACTTAAATCTTGAAAGCCAGTATAGCAAAACTAAGCCACAACAAAACAAAACAAAAATTGATCCCTTGATAGGAAGTCAGTATATTTGGGTTTTTGTCATTTCTTCAACACGAGTTCCAAAATCTTGGGCAAGTCAGTTAATCGCTCAGAGGCTGCTTAAGTTTTTGTTGGTTTGTTTTTTTACTCTATTATCTGTCTTGATTAGGTAAAGCCAAAGTTGTTGTAAGACTCATGGTACTATTGACCAAAATGCTTCATAAAATATAACATTACACAAAGGTACAAGGTTTCTCAAATGAGGAGATCATTTAAGAAAAACAAAATGCTGGCAAGTAATCCTTAAAAACTTTTCAATAATAATTACTCTTCTGTTGAATTTTGCATTGACACCTAATTTGAAGCTTTGAAGATTATTTTTTGAACAATGAATTGGATTTATATATTAAAGTGTTCTAACCAAAGGTTTGTTTAATTTATTAGAGTTATTAAGCCTACGCTCAGATCAAGGTAGCAGCTAGACTGGTGTGACAACCTGTTTTTAATCAGTGACTCAAAGCTGTGATCACCCTGATGTCACCGAATGGCCACAGCTTGTAAAAGGTAATTTTGAATTATTTTACAGCCTTTAAAAGGCTGTCATTGTAAATTGAAATACATACTGTAAAAATGAAGACAATGTATAGTTGGCAGGAATACTGCTAAGAATTGTGGGCCTGAGAGTTGACCTACTTCATTTAATCTCCTTAAAATATATCAGTGCTTTTTTTTTAATTGTTGTTATTAAAAATATCAGTAGCCACTATCAAAGGCCTATCTGTATGGATAAACAGGAAAGTATTTCTCAAAAAACCTCAAAGTTTTAAACAAACTTTATTAGAAACATAGAAAACATGAAAAATTTCTTGATATGTATTTTAAATAGTATGCCTTTTATGTGGTGAACGTTTTAACTAAACATTTCTCTAGAAGTTTTTATAACATTAATAAAACTAGTATACTTTTCTCTCCTAGAGAGTTACAGTGGAGGTAAAAGGAGTGGCTTGCAGAATGGAGAAGCTGCACCAGTGTTATTGGAAGTGAGCCACCATTTGAATTTGCTAGCTCATGCTGCAGTATTCAGATTAGTGGGCGTTTTATGATCATATTTTCTGCGATCCAAATCAAGACCTAAAATTGAGACTCTTCTAAGATTTATTTTTTTATTATCTAATGTTACTTGGTTATTGTTTTAGTTTTAAAATTCCTTTTCTGACTTGTTATTCTGACATACTTTACGATAACCTAAGTCAATAGTTTAATACAAAAATGTCCCTTTGGTTATATGTTTTGAATTTGGTTATATGTTCTGCATTTAAAAACACATAGAGGATTTTTACTTCCAGCAGCTTGGCAGTGAAAGAATAAGTAGACTCTTTAGGAGCCAAAATCAAGTTTGGGAAGTATTGCTAGGTGGTATCTATTTCATAGTTTATGTTTGTTTGTTTCTGAGACAAGGTCTCACTCTGTCGCCCAGGCTGGAGTGCAGTCACACAATCACGGCTCACTGCAGCTTTGACCTCCTGGGCTCAAGTGACCCTCCCACCTCAGCCTCCCAAGTAGCTGAGACTAAAGGCACACAGCACCACACCCGGCTAAGAGACGGGGTTTCATCATGATGGCCAGGCTGTCCTCGAACTCCTGAGCTCAAGTGGTGCTTACGCCTCGGCCTCCCAAAGTGCTGGGATTACACACGTGTGAACCACCACACCTGGCATATTTCATAGTTTTGAGAGTTTGAATTCTAATCTCGGGACTTTTGTGGTAACTTATTTAGAATATTCTAGAAATATACTGATATTTGTATGAGTAAAAATTTATTCAGACACAAATTATTAATACTGCAAGAAAAATGTCTGCTAGGTCTGTATATATTCATTTTTCTCTTTATTAAAAAACAATTTCCAATTTGAATAGAACAATTTTGCTATGTTTAATAGTCCCAGGACAGATTTGTTTTAAGGTAATAATCTTTGAATCCTTGTCCTTCTTGTATACTGGATTGGTTTAAATTATTGGTCTTATCAATGGTTTTTAATAGCCTACTTTAATATATGTAAAAAGTAATAATTAGTATGTTACAGTTTGGTGACATTTTCAGGCCAAAATTCACATATTTTCTTGCTTACAGAACAGAAATTGGGAAAATAGATGTAGTTATCATTTGATAATATATTTAAACTTTATCCTGTTTCAGGATCTGAAAACTTTGTAACAGTTATATGTTGTACTTCTAAGACTTAGATTTGTTTTCCTTCTTGTGTCTTTCTTTTTTGCAGTAATATTTTTATTTTCCTATCATCATGTCCTCATTTTTTTTCCCTCTCTTCTCTTTCCCTGTTAATTTTGAAAGTTTTGCTGCCTACATGTTTGAAAACTTCTAATTTGCCTCTCTTCCCTCAGTGCCAGCAGGTTTATTTTTTGTTTTGCAAGCCAGCTCTGCCTCCTTACAGTATGACATCTGATGCTGGAGGGTCGCACTTTCAAAAATGAGTCAGCTGGTACATGGGGTTATCATCAGTTTTTAGCTCTTCTGTCTGGGAGATACAAGTTTGGAAGCAATCTTGGGGTACTTACCCACAAGGCTGGTGGAGACCAGGTGTGTCACATAGGTGATTTGCTTGCTCCCTGGGGGAGAGGGTGGAGTGAAATTTTTGCATTTGTGTCACTGCCAAGTCACTGCCACCTCCAGCATGCCCCAGTTTTTAGTTCTTATGTAATTTTGTGCAAAATTGAAAATTTAAATATATTGCAAAGAAGATCTAAAATATTTGAGCTGCTGGAGTCTTTTTTTTTTTTTTCTTCTTTTCCATTCTTGTCCTTGGAATCTGAATGAATTTCAGTGACGATAATTTTGAGAGTCTGATGAAGAAAGAAACAGGTTTTTAATTTTTTTGGCTAAGAAATTTAGAAAGCAGGTGTGTGTGTGTGTATGTGACTGATTTTAAAATTCTTTTGTTAAAATTGCTTTAGCAACTTATTAAAGTCTAAATTCGGTGAGAAGTTCACAAATCATGACCTTCTAATGCCAATTTGAAAATTTAGCTTTTGACCTGAAAAACCATTTTTTATTGAGTTTGGGAATTTCTGAGTGTTAGAAATCAGTATTATGTTGACTCACCCTACAACATTCATTGTTGCTGATGCTGTTTATAAAAGTGAATAGGGTGACAGGAAATTATTTTTAACAACATGGTAGAGATAGGGAAATACTGATTCATGTCTCCCAAAATGAAAATGAAAGGCCTCTTAGTGACTTAGAATTTTAAATATTTCTACATAAGAGAGCAGTAGTATATTTAGAAATAAAGTAACTGGCAACTATTTAAAAATGAAGTTAATTCATGGCTATCCAGTGCAAAAGTTTACCTCAGGTGATAAACTTTTGACAGGTAATACATACGGTCAATGGTCAATTGTGTTTTTAGGGAAACTTAATTTCACTGTTAGACCAAGATCATCATTGGAATGTTGTATCTGATTTAAGTGTCTTTAAACTTTCCAAGGTATTAGATATAGTTTGAATTTTCTAGAGTAGTGGTTGGCATATTTGTTCTTAAAGGGCCAGAAAATAAATATTTTAGGCTTTATGGGCCATGTGGTTTCTGCTATGAATCCTCAGCTGTTCTTTTAGTGTGAAAGCAGCCATAGACAATACCTAAATGAATGAGTATGGCTGCATCCCAATAAAACGTCATTTACAAAACTGCATGGCTGGCCTAAGCTTCAGCCTGTCTGCCTAGGGAGTAGTTTACTGAGCCACTAATCTAAAGTTTAATACTATGAGTGAATACCAGTGAGTGCGTTTGTTAATGTGGCTAACCAGTACTTGGCTATAGGACGTTTTATAGTTGTGTGTTTTATTACACATACTTGACTTTGTGAATAATTATGGCTTATAATGGCTAGTGGGTTGGTATCTATGTATAGTTTTTACAGTTTTCCTTAAAAAAATTCATTTTTTTAATAGTCCAACCCTTAAAATAAATAAATGTGTTGTATGGCAACCTGATCTTACCACTTTTTTTATGTTGACGTCTTTATTTTTAAAACTGTTTAGTGCTGAAATCTTGCTTACAAATTTATCTTCCTAAGTAATATGTCTGCTTTTTTTTGGAATATGGAATATTTTGCTAACTGTTTGTCAATTGCATTTTACAGATCACCAGGAGAACCTCAGTCTGACGACATTGAAGCTAGCCGAATGTAAGTGGTTGAGACTCTGGTGTCTTTTAAGTTGCCCTGGACTGCTTTAAATGATGTCACATTATTTGGAAATTATTTCTGGCTAAAAGAAAGGAATGATTTAGCAGTAAATTGGGAGATAGGAACATATTTGCTTTTTCTCCTACCAGATACTGCTAAACCTTGGTAACATTTCACTAGATTTCTACCACTAGATAGATAATTGCACACACCTGAATTCTTATGTCTTTTTGCTTCCCTGGTAGTAGTTGTAGGAAAATAGAGAGATTGAAGAAAGAGTTGAGTTTAACAATCTCAGTGCCTGCCATGTTTAAGGCATCAGGTACTATGTTATGGATACAGAGATGCACAATTATTAGTTTTCACACTGTAGAAATTTATATTATACTCTGAGTAAAAGATGCAGAAACAAATAATTTTAGTCACTGAGGTAGAATGGTATCCAGAATACAGTAGTAACATAAAGGAGTACTGGAGTACCCAGGTATGCAATAGGAATCTAGTATAGATGGCAGGGAAGTAACCATGGCAACGGAATGCTGAATTCAGTCTTGAAATGTGACTGAGAATTAGGCAGCTAGAAGCATGACCAGGTTATTCTAGGCAGAAGTATGAGCCAAAGTTCAGAAGCAGCATAGGGAGTAGGGGCCAATAGGCAGTTGAAGACTTTTAGATCATAAACTGGCTGAGAGGTAGGAAAATGAAGGAGATAGCACATGATAGAAAGGTATTTCGGAGTCAGTGAAGAATCTGCTCGGTAGGTAGGTAGTAATTTTGTCAGACATATATTTTTAATAACCTTGCAAGGGAGAAAGGATTGAAGAGAAATATGTTGGTGGTCGTAAAGACTAAAGATAACAGAGGTGGTAATTATCAAAGTTTTCAAGGTAGTAGGGGTTGGAATGAAAAATAAAGGTGTATCTCTCATGCAGGTAATATAAAAAAATACTTATACAGTGATTTGCCTTGCATAAGAGGAAAGATGCCCATCCAATGAAATTAGAGCAAGGAGGTATAAAGATGGATATGTGATGTTAATTATAATTGTGGGTGAGGATGGAAAAGTCAAGATTTTCTCACTGAAAATAGTGGAACCCTATTTAAATGCTAGTGTATATTGTGAATCTGCAAGAAACGATTATAAAATGTATTTCTCAAATTTATGTGACCAACCATGTGACTTTTCAGTTTTTAAAACTGTAGGAAAATACACATAGTGTAAAATTTTCCATTTCACCATTTTTAAGTATTTGGTTCAGTGGTATTACGTACATTAATTCTGTTGCACAGTCACCATTCGAGCTCTCTGTTTTGCAAAACTGAAACTCTATACCCATTAAACAATAATTCCTCATTTCCTTATCTTCATAGCCTCTGGCAACCATTATTCTACTTTGTGTGAAGTGGATGAAAGGTTATTGAGAGTCTTGTCTGGCTGGCTACCTGAAATCAGAAACCATATCAGACTAGGAGAATCTCATACCACTGAGTGGCTAGTTAAGATTAAAGACCTTACCACATTTGAAATTTAAAGACTTCTCCAACAGCCCGAAGATTATGCATGGTATTTTGGGACTGGATATTAGCAGGGCTGATGGAACAGAATCACCAGTGGCATGTACATAGGATGTTAACATTGGAGTACTTGAATTTATATGCTGTTGATGAAGGCCATGGTTGGAAAGATTGGGCTGCCAGACCAAAGTGTTGAGTTGTTTAAAGAAAAGCCTGAGGTCTAGATAACACCAAGATGGCAGACTAGCACCTTTTAGAACCATCAATTTGAACAATTTTCCACACACAAAAATATAAGAGCTAAGAATACCAGATGAGAGATTACCTGAATGTGGCACAGAAATAAGAAAAGCCATATTGAAGAGGTTAGGAAGGACTGTTTTACATTACTTGCATCACACCTCCCTCAATCCCTGACCGCCCAGCTTGCAGAGAAATACTGCCCACCTGGGGGAAGGAGTGGAAGTGTATGCCAGACTTACACCGTAACATTGAGCTTGCCCCTGTAAAACTCAGTGCTAGGCAAGGCCCCCATGGCTCCAGACTCCAGACCAATACCCAGAAACTGAGCCTACAGGCCCACCCCAGCACCAGGCTAGATTCCACAGCCCTAGGCTCCAAGCCTGCCTAGTGCTAGGTTAGTCCCTGCAGCCTTGCCCTCTGGATCGGACCCTGTGGCCTCACGTCCCTGCAGAACAAGGGTCCAGGCCAGTCTCTGTAGACTGAGTAGTGGACCAGCCCCTTGTGTTCCAAGTTCTAGACCACCACCCACCTACCCAGCCTTCATACTGGGTCCTTTCAGACCTAAGATTCAGGCTCACCCTAGTAGACCCAGATGCCAGGCTAGCACCAGTGTACCAAGGCTCCAGGACCTACCCTGAAGACCCAGACTCCATGTCGGCCCCTGTGGACTCAGGCTACATAATCTCTGGACACGCTGACTGGTGAATGGCTTTCCCGGATAAAGGCACTCTGCAAAGACTGAACAAGTCTCAACTTACTTAAAATGTGCAGGTGCCAACACATGACTACAACGATCAAGAACAGTCAGAGAAACGTGACACTAGTCAAAGGAACCAAATAAGGCACCTGTAACCAACCCTAAAGAAATGGAGATATATGAACTGCCTGACAGAGAATGCAAAGTAATTGTTTAAGAAAGCTCAGTGAATTTCAAGAAAATGCAGAGAAACAATTCAACAAAATCAGGAAAACGACAATCAAAATGAGAAATTAATACCGAGATTGAAATTATTTTTTAAAAATCAAATTCTGAAGCTGAAAATGTAGTAAATGGAATGAAAAATGCAAAAGAGCATTGAAAGCAGACTTTAGCAAGCAGACAAAAAAATCTGGACTGAAAAGACAGGTTATTTGAAAATATACAGACAGTAGAATGAAGCTTTCTGCTTGTGGCAGAAAACGCCACAGCATCAAGTAGATAAATATTGAGTTATAAGAGTTCAAAAAGAGAGACAAAGTAACAGAAAGCCTATTTAAAGAAATAACAATGAGGAAGATGTAGAGTATAGTAAGGACAAAGATCTCCAGATTCAATTTGAACAAGAACACCAAAACATCACACTATCAAAAACTAAAGTCAGAGAGGACCCTGAAATGAGCAGGAGAAAAGAAGCAAATCATAGATAAGGGGATTCCAATAAAGGCAGCCACTGACTGCTCAGCAGAAACGTTGTAGGCCAGGAGAGGGTGTGATGATACCCTCAACATGCTGAGGAAAAATAAACTGTCAATCAAGAATATTTTACTTGGCAAAACTGTCCTTCCGAAATGAGGGGTAAATAAAGATTTTATCAGAAAAGAAAGCAGAGGGAGTTAAGTTTATCACCCCCTAGGCCTGTCTTTTTTTCTTAAATATCTTGCCTCCTCCCCCATCCTATTTTTGTAAGAAATACCAAAGAGAGTTCTTAAACCTGAAAGAAAAGGATGCTTATAAGTTTAAAATTCACTGTGTATAAGTAAATACACAGATTTAGAATATTCTGATTCTGTATTGGTGTGGAAATCACTCATATCTTTAGTATGATGTAAAATGTAAAAGTGATTCAAAATATTAATAGCTGTGATAATTTGTTAGCAGATACACAGTATAAGATATATATGTGACATCAAAAATGTAAAATATGTGTGTAGAGGGGGAAATACGTAGGTTTTAATGCAATCACAGTTATGTTGTTATTATCTTAAAATAGCCTGTTATACTAAGACATTCTATGTGTAAACTTCATGGTAACCACAAAGCAACCTATGGTAGATACTAAAGAGATAAAAAGGAAGGAAGCAAATCATACCACTGGACAAAATTATTTGAAAGCAAGACAGCAAGGATGAAGAAAGGAACAATGTATCTACAAAACAACCAGAAAACAATTTAAAAAATGGCAAGTACTAAGTCCATACCTACCAGTAATTACCTGCAATGTAAATGGATTAAATTCTCCAATCAAAACACACAGAACAGCGGAATTCAAGATTATAAAACTAGACCCAACTATATGTTGCCTACAGGATTCTCACTTCACTTTTAAGGACACATCATTTGACAATAAAAGGATGAAGAAAAAGATTCCATGCAAACAAAAACCAAGAGAGCAGAGATTACTATACTTACATCAGGTAAAACAGGCATAAAGGAAAACAAATACCATAAAATAAGACAAGGTCCTTATAATGAGGAGGAAGTCAATTTATCAAGAGGGTATAACCATTGTAATTATATCTGCACCCAACATCAGAGCACCTAAATACGTAAAAGTAAACATAATAGACCTGAATGGGGAGATAGAATGTAGTACAGTAACAGGAGTCTTTGTGCCCACTTTCCGAATGGACAGATCATCCAGAATGAAAATCACTATAGAAACAGAATATTTAAACTGCACTAAAATTCAAATGGACCTAACAGACACACACAGAATATTCTATCCAGCAATGACAGAATACACATTCTTCTCACACACACAAACAAAAATGGAAAGACAGCATATCAAACTATGAGATGTAGCAAAAACAATGCTAAGAGGGACATTTATACCAATCAATGCCTATATGGAAGAAAAAAGAAAGGGCTCCAGTAGACAACCTAGTGTTACACCTGAAGTAAATAAAGAAGATCAAACTAAGCCTAAAATTAGTAAATAGAAGGTAATAATAAAGGTGAGAACAGAAATAGAGATTAGAAAAGCAATAGAAAAGATTTAAAAAAAAAATGGGAGTTGTGGGGGTTTTTTGACAAAAGCAACAACTTTTTAGACTAAAAAAGAGTTGACTCAAGTTAAATCAGAAATGAAAGAGGACCCATTGCAGCTGATACCAGAGAAATACAAGAAATAAAAGGATCATAAGAGACTGAACACTTATATGCCAACAAATTCATTACTGTAGAAGGAATGGAAAAATTCCTAGACATATGCAACTTGCCCAGGCCTTATCATGAAGAAATTAAAAATTTGAATAGTCCAGTG